AAAAAATAGAAATACAGAGAGAGAGAGAGAAAGAGACAGAGAGAGACAGACAGAGACAGAGACAGAGACAGGGAGAGAGACAGACAGACAGACACACACACAGAGAGAGAGAGAGAGAGAGAGAGAGAGAGAGAGAGAGACTGTTTGTGAATTGAGTAAAGAGAACCACATCAACACAATAATGGTCCTCTAGTGCCGGGAAAAAATGTATTACAGACTGACAGAAACAAGACAGGTAAAGTGAAGACCTACCAGTGGTACCCTCCAACCACCCACTAGACAGAGAAAAGGAGAGGCGCACACAAACAGAGAAGCAAGTTTAGTTATGGTAAGCATTTTACGGCACTTGCAACACAAAAAGGTCATAAGTGCCCCAGATTAGAAGTGTTACAGGAGAGTTACAGGAGTACACAAAAATAAGGAGGAGAGATACGGACGACAGATATTTAATAAGAGGAAAGAAAGAGCAAACTACTTCAAGCACCCGCTAACCATCCACGAACATACTTTTTCAGTCGTCGTCCAACGTAATTCAGCAGAATCGAACGAGAACGCACCTCAGTCAGGCCGACGCACAAATTTTAACTATGACGTACGCTGGTCATGGGGAAATGTTTGTCCACAGACCACACCCTTCGTGAGAAGACGACCCGTTTTTGTAACTGGACCACGCCTCGTTAAACCCACAAATCCATACTTTATCTCTCCAGCCTAATCTTCCATTATCTTTTTTGAGGTACGAGTATAATTTTATGATTTATGCCTAAATCGACGTAATTTAGATAGTTTCCAAGGCAACTGCTTCAACCTTCCCTGTCAGAACAACTCCGGGCTGAGTGGGAAACAACACCAAAATAACGGACGAAGACGCTTGAAACAAAATAGACTTCCTTCAACACAACGGAGACCGTGTCTTCTGCTTGCAACGGCTAAGCCCCTACAGGTAGTCAACAGGCTACAAACATAAAACACAATAAAACAAGAAACAAAAGAAAAATAATTATGTGTGTGTAGGGGCGGGGGTTGTCATCCGGTAGAATAAGAAAACAAAAATGAATAAAATCGACCAAAACAGTAAAACATAAAGAGAAAAAAAATCCCCGAAATATATCGGGTCGGGTGGCGGTAAGAACCCTTTTTTTTTTAAAGGCAAAACTCTCCAAGCAAGCGTCATTCTTTACACAACCATCAAACAGACAGTAATAATTTTCTGGAAAGCCAGACGAAAAACAAAAGTCGGGGAAAGAGACACAATCTTTCATAACATGATATTTATATATATAATATGATAAACAGGAAAAAATATCAAAGCACACAACATTCTTTATAATGAGCTCAAATAACAAAACCCCGATAATAATAGGTTGCACATACATTTTTTTAACTTCCTGAGAGAAGCCCGCCCAGTAAACGCGACAGGCGTCATCGGAGAGTCCCGCTGCGCTATTAATAGCACGGGGCTTTTTATTCTATTATTATTACTTTTTAATACCAGCAGTGACGGGTGGCATGGGACATTCCACTCTGAGTGTCTCGTCTTGCGTCACTAACCGTGCTGTGTTAATCACAGAGGTGGGGGGGGGGGTTTAGGGCAGTCTGACTTATGGTCCTAAAGTGATTAATAAATACCCGGGGGTGGGGGGAGAGAGAGAGAGGGAGACAGATAAAGAGAGAGTGTGTGTGAGAGAGAGAGAAGAGAAAGAGAGTCATGCAGACAGACAGACAGACAGACAGACAGA